GCTCTGAGCTGACAACTATTTTTTTTTGTTCCTCTTCCCTTTTGAGTAACTTATAACCCTGCCTCTGTTCTTACTCAGCTTTCTCAAGCAAGGCTGAGAGATTTCTTAACAGATTTGTTGGTTCCGCATGGTTCTGAATACCAGCTGTAAAAGCTCGTTAATGTGACTGCACTTCTGGCCAATTTTGAGTAGTAATAGAGATGTTTATCTGTTGGTTGACATAGAGCATTCTTTAGTTACCATCTTTACAATAGTACTGAACAGAAATTAGGGAGAAGTACAGACTCCAAAGGCTGAGAGATTTCTTAACAGATTTGTTGGTTCCGCATGGTTCTGAATACCAGCTGTAAAAGCTCGTTAATGTGACTGCACTTCTGGCCAATTTTGAGTAGTAATAGAGATGTTTATCTGTTGGTTGACATAGAGCATTCTTTAGTTACCATCTTTACAATAGTACTGAACAGAAATTAGGGAGAAGTACAGACTCCATAAATACATAGTACTGACCTCCCAAATTTCAAGCTAGTGATAATCAGTGATAAAGTTTTTTCAAACCAGTATTAGATAGCATCATCTTGTTTAGCATGGCATAATAATATGTGATCAGTTAATACAGAGGAAGGGCTTCCACAAAAGATATGCTACAAAGATGTTACAGACTATGTACAGTCTCGCTTGCTCCTACTGACAACCCCTCCTTATCAATAATCATTGCCAGTGCTCTCATAACTAAAAAAAGTAAACAAAACTATCAGACAGACTGTTTGTGCGTGAACTGTAAGACACATCTTTGAATTACAGAACACAATCAGTTTTCTTTTACAGAACTGCTTATTATTTAAGAAGATACTTGGTTGGTACTTACCGCTCGTGCTGCTAGTGTCATTAGTACTCCTGTTAAAAACGTTAAATAATATCCTGGGTAAACTCCATGCCAAATGGCAGAGAGGATGAAGGTTTGGATCGTTGGGCTGAAGGTGGCTCGCTCATAGCACACTCTAGCAAGTCAAAGACAATTCAAGGAAAATAACATGAGACAGATCACTAACAATCTTCCCAGCTATCATTTATACTTTTAGCAGTTTCATCTCCAACACATCGTGTGAAATGCAATTGCAGTTTACTATTATTTAAAAACGTTGCCACTTATATTATGACTTACAGGCAATACTTAAAGCTATTCACGCTTCCCGATTTAACCCCTCAGCCCTGTCCCATGCTTAGTGCCATCACATATGGTACTTATCTCTACTGAAGTGATACAGAAGCGTCAAAAGACGGGTGTTGGTTTTAATAAGGGATCTTGAGCCATCCAAGGATGTGTTTGAAAAGCTACACTGGAAGGCACAGACTATCTCGCAAAGTCTTGCAATGAGTCAGATATACATTTTTCATAAAGTGAAAGCAGCTTATAGGAGATGGAAAAAAGTAACAACTACCTTCAATTTTGAGTAACAGAGAGACTACAGTTGAAAATGTGTCTGTATATGGCAATTAGGTGAGCATGATGATGAAATTATAATTAATGACTCTAAGGGATGTGAGAATATCACATAAGGAGAATGCTGAACTCTGCTATTTAAAAATTGAGACTCCAAATTATTAGGCAAGGTCCTACAGTAAGGAATTCTAGAAAGAAGAAGGGGGAATTGGAATCCAAGAAAACCAGTTTCTAGAAGACAACATTAAATGACACAGTGACAAACCATCATGATGTGGAAGAATGATAGGAAACATGGTAAGGTCCTGATATGGCTTCATCAAGAGTTCTTTAATGTCTTTAATGATCTGAAAACCAAAAAGCAACAGGAAATATGGAAACAGATGCACACTAACATGAAGTGAAAATAAACAGCACAAGCATCCATGAACACAAATCTAAGGCTAATGTACAAACGTGAGTTATAACTAAAAAGGCCATAGATACCAATATATAAAAAGGTTTTGTAAACACACAGTAAGTAACAGAGAGAGAGAAGAGAATTCACATCTATTATTCAAAGAGGAAGACAAGCTAATGATACAGAGGGCTGAAACATTCACTACTAATGTAACTACTTTATTACAACTTCCATATATACAAAAGACTGCTGAGACCAAATGATACAGTCAATGCTAAAAAGCAGAAGGTAAAAAGGCAGAATCTGAATAGGGAAAGCTCAAAAATGTATTTTGCTGATATAGTTTATTCCAGTCAAATAGATGTGGTAAGTTTTACCTTATGAGGTCTTCAGTGCAGAGTACGAGCAGAGCCCCCTCCCCTTGCCAAAGGGCTTCGCTAACAATGCTCATTGAGATCAGAACATGGGCCTACGTAGGGCACAAGTTCATGCATTTGTAATACACAAAACTCTCTGAGGACATTTGCCCACAACAGATCACCTTAAAGAGGAAAGCAACATTGGCCAGGCTAAACAGTAACCAGGGAATTTCAAAGACACTTTTGAAATGAAGAAGGTGTCAGCCTAGAAAGTAGAAAAGCACTAGGAAAATTTGTAACAAGTCAGGGAGACATCTTGGAGCAAAATACTAGTCATCAGAACCTGGTTTAACACCGCCAGAAGTCAACCCATGAGCACCATGACCTCTGTCTCGGCCAAGACAGAGCATCCTCCCTGGTAGACATCGAGTAGCCTGCATCCAGCTAGGGGCCTGTCAACGCAGTGTGCAACCCACAGGGAGCAATATCGCATCCCTGTCAGCTGCATGCACGCGAACTCATGGCATGCTTTTCTAATTGGCGTGTAAATCAGTGGGTTCACATAAAACTGCAGCACCCACATCTCCCACAGGCAATGCGTAAAAGGGGCCCGCACTTCCAGAAGGAGGTGTGTTTTTCTAACCCACGTGTCCGTGGGAGTGGAGGCACAGTTTGCATGTAACCATGTGTGTGCATGCACACTTTTTTAAACTCTTTGGGATTAGTTACAGAAGGCTGTTTAGAAATTTATTTATTAAGTCACAACACTAAGCACTTACAAAATGTCATCTGTTCTACTACTGGGGAAGGACTTTTTACTAGAACATGTAGTGACAGGATGAGGAAGAATGGCTTTAAACTGGAAGGGGGTAGATTTAGATTAGATATTAGGAAGAAATTTTTCACTTTAAGGGCGGTAAGGCACTGGAACAGGTTACCCAGATATTAATTCTAAATGTATAGTTCACTGACTGGTGGTTAATTATGTCTTGTTAATAAATTGATAAATGGCTTCAATCTTTATTTGGTTCAATCTGCTTTAACTAAGCAGATTTTCCCCTGCAAAGCATTCAGGAGCTAACATAACTACCTAAATTAACTAATCAAATTTCAGACATATCTATGCAAGTCAGATAAATGTATATTAGAAAAAAAAAATGAGGCTTCAATTTCAAAGAGTTAAAAGTAAACTTAAAAATCCTCTATGGATTTATCAATAATAAATCATGTTGAATGCTTGCTTGACATTCCCAAAAGCAAACCAAAAAAATATGGTCATCAAAACAGGCTGAGAAAATCTATTCAAATATGGGTGGTTCAGGTTATCTGTGATTTGCTCTAGAAGTGGGAAGATGCATCAACTGTTCAGCAAGGTACTCCCCTTGGTCTGGTTCTATACTTTAATTACCAGCTTGGGTGGTAAATTGAGAAGTGTCTTTTTCCACTCTGCCTTCCCTTTTTTGGGAGGGTGGGGAGGGTGAGGTAGGGTGTGGAGGGAATGAAGATCGGCATTGTTTCCTTAACAGAGGGGTGCCATCCAGAGGGACTTGGACAGGCTGAAGAGGTGGGCCCAAGCCAACCTCATGAAGCTCAACAAGGCCAAGTGCAAGGTCCTACATCTTGGTTGGGGCAATCCCAAGCACAAATACAGGCTCAGCAGGGAATGGATCAAGAGCAGCCCTGAGGAGAAGGACCTGGGTGTGATGATTGACGAGAAGCTCAGCATGAGCCAGCAATGTGCAATCGCAGCCCAGAAGGCCAACTGTATCCTGGGCTGCATCAGAAGTGTGGCCAGCAGGTCAAGGGAGGTGATTCTGCCCCTCTACTCCACTCTCGTGAGACCCCACCTGGAATACTATGTCCAGCTCTGGAGCCCCGAACATAAGAAAGACATGGACCTGTTGGAGAGGGTCCAGAGGAGGGCCATGAAGATGATCAGAGGGCTGGAGCACCTCTCCTATGAGGAAAGGCTGAGAGAGTTAGGGTTGCTTAGCCTGGAGAAGAGAAGGCTTCAGAGAGACCTTATAGCGGCCTTTCAATACCTAAAGGGGGCCTACAGAAGATCTGGGGAAGGACTTTTTACTAGAACATGTAGTGACAGGATGAGGAAGAATGGCTTTAAACTGGAAGGGGGTAGATTTAGATTAGATATTAGGAAGAAATTTTTCACTTTAAGGGCGGTAAGGCCCTGGAACAGGTTGCCCAGAGAAGTTGTTGAGGCCCATCCCTGGAGATGTTTAAGACCAGGTTGGATGGGGCTTTAAGCAACGTGGACTAGTCGGAGGTGTTCCTGCTCATGGCAGGGAAGTTGGAACTCAATGATCTTCAAGGTCGTTTCCAACCTAAACCATTCTATGACTCTATGATTCTAACAGACAGAGCACTACAATCCAAAATTAACTGGAATGATGTTCTGAAATCAACAAGATGAAGTCTAGAACATCTAAGAAGAAAAGTGGAAGATACAAAAAGTACCCATCCATTTAACATTACTGAAGTGCAGCTGAGCATGAATATGAATCAACATCATGAAATGCTGAGTATCAGCTGAGCATGAATCAACACTAGATCACTGCTGAGAAAAAAGACAGATGTAACACTGTGATCTATTAGCAAGAGTTATCTAAGAAAAGAAAAAACTCAAAGCATTCAACTCTGCCTGTAACAAGGCAGCGGAAGACCTCGGAGGTCTTAGCAGAAGTACTGCGTCCACTAGAAGACAACAGGAAGTTCGGAAAGAAGCCAGAAGAAAGCAACAAGAACCACAGAGGTTTTGCAAACATGACCAAAGACAAGAAGAATTGGATGTCTTTGTTGGAAAAAAACAATGAACAGGCTAAGGGGGAACTTAGCTTCCCCAGGCAGAAAACATTATCATGATATATATTGTTGATATATGCTACTGTGTAAATATCTACTTTTACTTGTAACAATAATGCCTTTGAACTGCAGTATTTTGTGATTTACATTAAATGTTTATTAAACTTCTTTATGATCTGTAGATGGTTTTGTAAAAACTGTGCTTTTACAAAGGGTTTCTTTTAAACACTAACAGGGTTTAAGTTTAGTTCCTCTTTCAAGAGTATCAGAAAAGAACAGAATGAATGTTGACATCTGATATTTCTGGCCTAAGATCTTAGATGCTTCCATAAACGGTATTAAAAGTGGATATTTAAAGTAATACATGAGCTTGTCCTCTATTCAAACATTACAACTAACCCAGTTACTGGTAATATAATATATACTTGCACCAATATTTATGCCTCATATGTAATCATTAAAACAATCTCTTACTTGCAACAAATCTTTCAGAAAACATCCACCCTTCTCCCTTTCACTGTGACAGAATCAATATGTATTTAGGCTACCCTCAAAGATTCTTCTACAATTGTTCTTAAAAATTTAAGAGCAATTAATTGTTCTTAAGTGGAACTTAATTTTTCTTAAAAATATTTATTAAAGGAGATGCTTTAATTTTTCTTCGCATCTTCTTTTAACATCACCCTGAACAATTGATTTGCATTTTTTTCTTTCAATTCCTAACAGAAATGGTACTCATCTCCACTAGAAGGAGTTTTAGTTTAACATCGTTCGGTTTAGGAGATTTGAAAGTTCATTGGAATGCAACCTTCTTCTATTAATTTTTAATACTGATAAACTTCTGTTCTCTAACTAAATTAAAATGCATTTTAAAATAGCTTATTTGCTTCATTAAATTGTACATTTCAATACCTGCAAGCACACAATTCTTCTTTAACGACTGTCCTAGCAATAGATTCTATTGTCTATTGAGCCAACTAGAAAAAACATACATTTCAATTTCTGTTTTTAATTGGGTCAGAAAAATATTTAGGGAAGAAATTATGGAAGAAAGAGATTACACTGTAAAGAAATTTGACAGAAGCAACATCCTGATGCCAGCCATCCTAGAATAAGGGATAAAGTTCTCTGTGTTATCCCAAGATCACACCTATTCATAAAAGATCATCTATACAGAGACTGGGAGAAGGGAAACAACATCCATGTACTACTCAAGAACACTTCTTTTACTTTCTAGTTACCACAAAGTAGTAGTAAAAGCAGAGTGATTTAGTTCACTGGGCACTATACCCATTTCCCAGACAAGGAAAAAAGAACATCTGAGGGATACTCATTCGCGATTTTTTTTTTTTTTGATAGCAGATTGTAGGATTTGATATTTTGCCACACACTCATTATTGAAGGAATACAGAAAATTCTCTCACAGAGCGTATGGAATTCTATGTTATCACTGTGTGGCTAAAAAAAAAGTTTCCAGAGGTTAGCTGCCAAAGATGTGCATTTTGCCTACTGCTTTCAGCAACATCACTGCTTTGAATGCCAAGAGGGGGGAAAAAAAAAAAGATACTCCCACAGATTAATACTTTTAGGTTCCCTATGACTAATGAAGAAAAACAGTTTCTATCATTACCTGATAGTTTACACTAAGAGAGAAGTGCTATATTCAGCGGCTTTAATTCAAGTGCTACAAGAAGAATGTCCCGTGCAGCTGCTAATTAACTGTACTGTTTTGTGGGGTTTAACTTTAAAGGTTAAATTATCTTCAAAGAGATATTTATTTAAGCAACTTCATTGGAGAAAAGCTTTCGTTTAAGAAATAAATACCTTTTAAGCCAAAGAGCTGTTTGGATATTCCAGTTATCAAGAAACATCTTGAAACTTGTGGAAAACTGTAAAGTAAAAACAAACTAATTATTTCTGTAATTGTAATATGTTACAAAATATTTCAGAATTCTGAAACACAAATTATTAAAAAAACCTTACTTTGTGATGAGTTGAATAAGGTATTTACTCAACTACTTATACCCACAAAATATTTTGGAAGTCAAGTAGAACATATTCAAGAGAGACTCTTTTTCATCCTTTCCTAAGGATGTGAGCATGTAATGTCTGACTTAGAACATATTCACTATCTTGAGGAACAAAATGCATAGGAAAAGCTACTGAAATTACAAGCAACTACCTAGATGGTAGCTGCATTAACATTAATAAAATACACACATATTTTATTTGAAAGAGCCATGAACAAACCTCTATTTGCTGGATTCTCAGATTTGATATTAAATCCCAACGTGTAACTCCATTTTTGTCATAGCCTCTAAAACCAAACCCTGCTGCATTATTAATTGCATCTGCTGCAATGAAACAAAAAGAAACAAGTGAATTATAAACTGCCTGTATTACAAATTGTGCATCAGACAACATATAGTTTGTTCAAAATAGCTACTGCATTTTAAAGGCTACATTTTTTTTTTTAATTACTGTATTAGACACTTGGACAAAACAGAAAATAATTGAGGCAACACATCAGCTTTCAATTAAAAAACTACAAAAGCAAAAGAAGGAAAGGTAGCACTATCGACCGCAGAGTATAGATGTCTCCCCTCTCTCATACCACCTGCTTAGACTTGCTTGAGCAATTTAGGACAAAACCAAACTCAATGAGATGCATCAAGACTACTAAACATTGGCTGGCTGCAATGATTTGAGATAGCAGCTCATCACACAGATGCATGTCTTTGGTCTTCGTTATGCAGCAGCAGTCGCGTTTTAAGCATAAAGATAAAATCACTCAATTCACTTCCAGCAGGTGTACATTCACAGCACCACACACAGAGCAGTGGAAACCTACTGGAAGCAAACTGTAATTTACTAAGCAATGCAGAGTTTGTCAGATTTCCACTAATGGCACAAGGCCACTGTTAACAACACTTCCGAAAGTGAAGCATTTACAATGCACGTCAAAGGTCAACTAGTTCAAAGCAAACAATACTTTTCCCTAGGAGAAAAAGCTGCTCCCCTCAGCTGGACTATGCAGGAAAATATGAGGGATCTCAGTCTGAATACTACCTGTCACTTTCAGTCATCACCTTTGCCTCAGCTTTCTTAGCTGACACTAAAATTTCCTCAGCCGTACTTCTCAAATTAGGATGACCACTTACAAAGAAACAAGTTTTTTCTCCAAATATTGCCTCTGTTGGGCCAGGCACTTGGTTGCATCCACCCAAACATGGACACATATCCATGAGTCATGAACACAACCACGTATCCCACGTAAGTGGATAAATAAGTGACCACAGGGAGAAGAATGCCAGCTCCTCTTCCAATTCAGAGGTGTCCTGAGGAACTGGAAGCAAGGTAGGCAAAAGGCTCTGCAGAAGCAATACAGATCTAGTTCTCTAGTTACAGTACATGAGTCCTCACTGTTAGCTCAGAATTCACCTTAAGCACTGTAATTACATTGTCACCTTTTAAACTACAGCTAGCAAGGCAAGAGAAATTGCTCAGTTTGTGTTGCCATATTAAAAAGAATTTACTTCATACAATTTTACTTTATACATCTTTGAAAGCAACAAAATTTGCCACTGTACATCTGATATCACTGATGTCAACTTCAAACATTAGACAATGATTTTATGCTCAATTAGAAACAGCTGAAGACATGAACTCCATAATCTCTTGCTAGCTAGAGCAGAAAGATTACAGCTAGAGTAAGTACTCATTTTATTAACTAGCATTTTAATATCTAATAATTTTAAGTAATTAATTTCAGTAATGGATTATATTTTTTCTTAAGTGCAAAGAATAGCAATGTACAACTCAAAAGTGCAACATCCAGTAAAACTGTTGAGGCCCCTTCACATTCTACTCATACCATTAGAAGTTTAGATGAGGTAAAGTGGAAGGGAGAATGTAAAAAAAGTTATTTAGCAAACTACAAGTCTGGAGTTGATACAGTTTATTTTCTTTGGTATTTTACCAAAGGAATGCTAGCTCTACACTGCTAGCAAGTGCATAAGGAGAAATCCATCTGAAGTATTACAGGGAAAAAGAACAACAAAGATTATTCATTTTTCAGATGACTCCTGCTCTTTACAGACAATGATACTGGTGCATAAGAGCACAATATTCTAAATTATTTCATTCCACAACAAGCCCCAGAATTACTATATCCAGACAAGCTGAAAGCACTTCATTCATTGACCAGGAATGAAACCAGCAGCTGTAAATGAGTCATGCTTCTCTGCTACACTAAGGCTTTCTTTATTGCATTGTTTCCCACAGATTCTCTCTCAAAAGAATTATGAAACAAATATGTAAAACTGAAGAAGAGAAGGAAGCTGATGAAATCTGTTTTGTGAGCCACTTCCAAGATGTCAGCTTACATAAATACAGCATTTTGCTGTCCTATGTGTTGGGTTTTTTTCAAATAATGTGAAGTGAAAAGTAAAATGTTCTTTCAACTATATCGGATATTCAGTGCCTTAAATCAGTGACTATAGGTGTTACCCATCAGCCAATTAGAACTTTTCACAAACAAAGACTAGAACTCATCAAATTCTGAAAATACTACTGCAAATGCCATCTGCTATTAACACCAGTATGATATATCTGACTTTCAATACATTAATTTTTCCTTCATGCTTGAATAACATCAAGCAAATTACTGATAACTAACCACAGAAAGAAGCTTAGAGTAACTTTTCAGACATGCCAAAATGAAAGTATCAGAAAAAAAAAAAAAGGATTGTACATCAGACTAGATTTACTGCAATTATTAAAAAAACAAAATGTCATTGCTCATTAAAACACTATCACTCTCCAAAACCCCAGTATGTTTCACTCAGGCTTGTTCAGGACACCATGATCTCATTTGCAACACTGTCACAACATTGTGCTTAGATTTATGGTAAGTTTTCTTTCTCAAAAAGGGAGACACCATTCAATATACTTTGACAATACCTCATAATACTTAAATGTAATAATGTTTTCCTAAGGCCTCAAGAGGGCACTGTCACTTTTTAATACATGTGTAGTGTCCAGTATCTCAAATGAAATTCAATACATACAGTTTCTTCTTTTTTTTTTATATACCTACTTACCTAAAGTCCATGCAAAATAATACTTGGGTCTGGCAGCCATAAGAGAGACGTATAGGTAGAAAAACTTTACAGGCCATGATGCTGTAGCTCTGAAGTTATCATCAATGTTGTATTCCACAGGCAAAGTTTTTGTAATAGTCATGTGGAAGAGTAAGGACAGTCCACAGATTAAGAGTTTCTGTGCCACAGCTATCTGAAAAGTTTAAGATGGGAGGCTTTGTAAGCTTCATTTTTTCATTTTCATTCTGAAAACAAAAGCAAGTTACAATCTTCCTTCCCTGAACAGATGTACTTATCTGTTAATTTTTCAGTAATACATACTAATAAGTGTAAAATAGTTCTTAACATTTTACGGAGGTTCAAGAAATACCGTTATCTCGATTAAGTTGTGAGCACCACTTCTAGCAAACAGAGCAAATTCAATCTGACTACAGGGAGCCTCTAAAAACCCCTTCAGTAATGGGAACATCTTTTGCAACTCCAGTTTTTTCTTCCTTCAGTAATTTGACAATAAAAGAAGTTGTTAAGACATCCTAATAAAAGTATATAACCTACGACAAGATGAGTACAATTATTGCGGAGATTCCAAAAACAATGGTAAAGCTTCAGTTCATTTTTGGTAATCTTTGGTATAAGGTAGGTGTTCAATTGCTGTCCAACTCAATATATCAATCAACTCTCAGATTATTGCAATATCTACATTATAAACCAACTAAAATACTGGCACAATTTATGAATTTTATGAGCCAAAGTACCTCAGTTCTATATAGACCTGTTTTACCAACCAGAGTGACCAAGCTCTAGGGGCCAAACAGCACACTCACTGACATGCAAACATATGATGTTCAGGTAGGACATGGACTCACATTTTCTCCGAATTAATTTTGCTATAATGACCACACTAAAAAGTATGTATTTTTAGGAAAACATTTCTAAGGTTCTATTAAAAAAACACACAGAGCAATAATGCATGACATTGACTGCTTTAAGTAGTTAGTCTGATCCGCATCCTAAGGGCAGATACTATGTTCTATGCAAGTTCCTAAAGTAACACACTCACCAAGCACCTGCAAAAGAGAAGCTTGAGAGCCAGTTCATTTAAAATGTAATTTTCAAGTTTTGATTGTAAGTAATCTTAATATTTAAACATTACAATTTTAATTCATTACAATTCTACAAACAATAAACTTGGCAAGAACGCAATTAATCTAGCTATTTTACTTTGAAGCATCAGAACAAAAAGATAACCAGAATCCTTTTTCTGTCCATCCTGTTTCCAGTATACCTGCCCCAACTTTTAAAGGTAACATCCTGCTTAAATTAGAGCGCAGCTTCACATATCTAGTTCCAAAATAAAGACTAATTCTGTTCCATGATACAAAACGGAGCATTAAGTGCCCAACTGAAAACACAGATTTCTGCAACACACACAGTATCAGAGTCATTCAGTCACACAGATGTAAGAGGTGGTACAATGTGATAAAAAATTAGACTTGGAAAAAGCTGTAAAACGTTGAGGATAACTTTGGATATTGCATGTATTTCATGTGGCTCATCTCAGAAGGTATTTCAGAGAGGGATCAGAAAACCCAGCTAATTAAACAAACCAGCTGAATAACTCAGGAGGCAACTACCTGTTAACACCTAAATCTGGTGTTTAACTATTTTTTTCTACTTGGTTTCTAATAAACTTGATTTTAATATTTTACGGTATTACAAGAGTTCAAAGTAAAGGGCCCTAACTTTCTAAAATCATTCCTCTGTTTTTCAAGCAACTATTAATCCATCTCTCTCTTTGCCAGAGCAGAGGGAAAGTTCAACTGGCTTAACTGCTTCAGGAATTTAAATAGAAAGGAATGTTCATAAAATCACTTATTATTAACACTAATGAATCTTTAATTTTGATATACAATATTTGATACATGCAAAAGTTAGATATTTGTAAATACCAAAAGGCCTCACCTCAAAGTTCTGAAGACGGTTGCACAGATTTAACTTCAAAGTCTTAACCATAATTTAAAATCACGTTCATTTAGCATGAGAAACAGTATTTATAGGCTGGTAACATTAACATGCAACTTAAAAATATAACCATAAACGTACAAAACAGTTAAGATCTTTATGAAGTCTCAAGATATGCATTGGCAACTTATAAGTAATGTTATCTGTTTACAGGCCTGGTTTTTGCCACTGACGCTATTTACCAGTTTTTCTGTTGGTAAACAGAAATCATTAATCTGCCTATTAAACCCAAAATACGCTTAGCACCTCTTTGAAGGTTTTTAACTAAATCATGGAGTTGAAAGCCCTTGAGGAAAAGCGTAAGAGTTTCAATAAAATTTATCTTAAGAAACAATAATGAACTCATGCAGGGCTCTGCCATAAATTGTACTTAAAAAAAAAAAAACTCTGCAGTTTTCAGTTTGTAGTTGTAGAAAAAATACTGTAGGAGGAAGGTGGGTTTATTTATTTAAGTATTTAAATGATGTATTTCTACAATTTTTAGCAATAATATTTAGGTCTAGGGACAAACACAACTACATCCAGAAACAGCATGTTTGTTTTTTTTAATTATACTACTTCACTCAATAATTATAAATCCCAGAACCTCAATCAAGCATACTGACGCCACTTACAGGGATCAGTATCAGGTATATTGGAGTCCTTAGCAAACTGTGATGGAGATAATCTCCTGCTTCTACAAAGACTGGGAGACGCAGTTTCAGGACTGGTTTACGCACAGTTTCTGAAGGACAATCCAAACAGACTGCAGCACAAAGAAGCAGTCCTGCCCCGTCTCCTCATCTTGGCTGCAGGTTTTTGCTCTCTTCCTTCTCGTGAGTCAGATTAGAGAAGCAAATCAGGTGAAAATCTAGCATTTGAGGGGTTTGCCTTTGTTTTTTTCTCTAAATGACGAATTAGAGTGGATCAAGTGATCTGAATCAGAGCAGGGTGCAGGGCAATGTGTGTTAGCCCTGCTACAATAAGCAAAGAATGCAGAACCCACAGTCAGGACCTACCGTGTTCAGCAAGAGTTTGTCAGTAAATTGGTTATTAAACTACAGCCTGAGGCTTGGTTATAGCACTTAAGCTTTGAACACATTTACACAGAAATAAAAGACCTCACCTGAAACCAAAATAATCTACAGTTCAATTACCTATAGAAATGCATTTGGTAAAGCATTCATTCACTTCCCATTGCTTAATTAACTAGGTTATTGATATAAGCTTCTTTGCCAAGTCATAAATGGATGACACATTCAGAGGAGGGTTGGTCAGTTTTTACAAGGATGAAATAACTAATTTAAAAGTTTGAAGTTTAATTTCATTCACTCTTTAAAGTTTACAACATATCAAAATAACTGTTCTGTTAAGGAATGAAAAGATCGTAAGCTGCAGGATAACTTTGACCTCATATGAAGTAGAATATACAGCTTATTTTACAACAAAAAGGTAGAAAGGCCTGGCTTATTTAGTTTTGACGAACAAAGTCTGGGCAAACTGTATAAGAATATAAAATATGGCCAACACTGGGAAGGTAAAAAGAAACTTAAGCTAAAAGACAATGCCAGGACAAAACCAAACGTGCATTCATTCAACAGGAATATAATTACGTTGAAAGCTATGCTCCTAATCAGAGAACGAAGTTCAGGAACAGCTTTCTAATTGAAGCAGTAAAGGTAAAACATTCACTGAGGTCAGGAATTTTATAAGTATATTATGGTATAAACATGTATACTATATATAAATATATACCAAAAAGTAGAAAAGGAACTTTTAACCTTTTATTTGAATGAATCTGTTATTATTCTTGGCTGATAAACCATCAATAAGGAGCTCAATATAATACTGAACTATGTTAAAGCATATTATTTGGAGGATGTTAGCACTGCAGGTAAAAATTATAGATAATTAAGCAAGAACTTTATAACCTGTAGGAAAAGTCTGCAAAGTAAGAAAGAAAGTAGGTATCTGCTGACAGGAATCTTGTATTTTAAGGGTAGCCATAACAAAAAGAAACTTACAAAGACAGATATTAATTTCTGAGAGTTGACACCACTTTGAGCACCAACAATTGATAGCTTGCAAAAAGGCACAATAGGAGGGATATAAGAAATAAGTTTTCATATGTTGACTTGATTCATTTATCATGCAATGAACACAGCAAAAATATTAAACCAAGTTAACATCATGCAGTCAACACACAGTATAGAGGAGGAGGCTGGCATGAACTACTTTGGTCATATAATTATATTTAACAAGAAACAAAACTTACTGTAACTCAGCTGAAGGATTTTTTTCTTTCATTTACTACATTCACATTTGCTGATCCCCATTAAATTTCATTTTTTGAGTTACCTAACAATTTATTCTTCTTGAAATAATAACATGAGAATCAAGGAACAAACTGAAAGTATTAATATGAAGTTAATAATATTTAAACATTCTTCTGGAACAAGACAATGGATATTTTATTTGATGCAGCAAATGCAGTAAAATTGTATCATCCATATTTCTCCAAAAGCACAAACTACTCGCTGGTGTTATAAAATGCAGCCAGATTTCTCTAACACCAGCTGGGAGACGAAGTATCAACAGCATAGACAGCTTCTCTTTACTTTTATTTAAAAAGCCAATGCAGAATAAATCGCAAAGAGTTTCAAGCATCCAAACAGTAATTAATTTTAAGGAAAACTGCTTACCTGAAAGAAGAATCCGTCATAGGTTTATATTTATTTCTATTGACTGCCCAGATTGCTAGCAAGATTATGTGGTAAAAAGCTACAAAGTCCTACCAGGCAATCAGCAGATGCATGTCCAGAAGTACTGACACTGGCAGATTTGGTTAGTTCCACTTATTTGGAATAATTTTACTACATAGTATTTTTCTGCAGAAACAGAATTTTAGTACATAAGTTGTGATGCTTTTACTGAGCCAAAACAGTGTTTAAAAACAAAAGAAGTGTCTGCAGCTTTGCCAATACAACACATCAATGCAGACTGCAGACTATGAGGTGCCAATCTATGCAAGGAATTCTCCTGTGTCTCTTTTGCCCTTCCTAACTCCTTGCTCAACAGCACACTTCTATGAGCTTCGGTGCTCGTGCTCTGTAAACATGTGTTTGAAGTGTTATCACCCTCCAGCCACTAGTTTACATTCCTGCGGTGCAAGTTACTACAACCACACGTGATGGGGTAGAATGGAACGTGCAAGGAGTCCTCATCCACATTCAAAGGATGGAAGTGGTTGGAGATGACACAATCGATTAGGAAGCACTCCCTGTTAGCCCAGCTGTGGGGATGATAACCTCTGGACGGTAGGACAAGACAAGCAGCTATGTGTGGAAAAGCTTTCGTCTGCTCCAGCAACAGTTGACGGTCCACAAGATAAGCAGAAAACAAGTAAATGGTGCAAAAGCCATTTATCTGAAGTGTTGCAGTTGACTCCGTGGTAATTCTGCCTTTTGTGTGTGGTAATAATTATGTTAGGCACAAACAAATTTAAAAGTCTGATACACTCCTATTTAAGAGGATATGAAAAGAGTGAAAAGATAATATTGAGTACCCTCAGCATTAAACTAATTGAATTAAGTTTAAAAAGTTACAAACTTCGGGAGCTTTTGATTTTAATTCAGGCCATACAATATCTCTTGTAAGGTACGATTAACTGGACTTTCTTCTGTACGTGTTTGGTCTCTTTTCCAAAAATGGAACAAAGAAAAAAGAAATATGTTATATGGATTATGAGCCATAGTATTATGGCTAGTACACCTTTTACTATATCTTCAGATCACAATCCATCTTAATACCTCTCTACTTGAATGAAAGCAAGAAAAATGAAACTATTTCTATGAGTGTTTTTCAACTTGTTACAGATGAATGTTTTCTACTTGCTGCAAGAAGACATTAAAAAAGAGTAGAATTTGAAAACATTCATGAAACCTTGCTGGAACTGTTAGTATCATCAGCTTCCAAATGAGAAAATGTGCACTTCATCCTTACCAGGACTTTTTTTGTGCACAGTGTATGCATTGAAGGAAACATGCATCAACTGTTTTAATTTAAAGACAGCTTTTTACCATATAAGCTTGTTAGGAAACTCCCAATTTAATCTGCTTTTATCCACAAGATCCAGACTGGAGACCATGGAGAAAACCTGCCTTAAAAAAAATAAATATTTAACTTTTTGAACGAGGAACTAATACTGTTGATGAACGAACTCCAGATACAGTTCAGAAGTTATGCCTGTAAATGAACAGTGCAAACCAAGCTTTCCATGCAATGATTACGGAAGCATCAGCACTGCAAGAGTCATACATCTTACATTGGGAGAAGGATCCGGTTGTTCGTATTTTGTATCTTCCTTCCCATTTGCTTCAGACTGTTGCAGTTGGTATGATCTGCCTTCAATGAAAGTAATATAGTCTTTGTAAGAGCATAACGGGCCTGCCAGGATACCCATGAAATTACAGTTGTAACTTAAATACTCCAGTAGACTTGGCATGCGTCTGTAATTCAAAGACAAGCAACTCGTGAGATGGAATGTGTAGTTCTACAGAATTTCCACAGTAGGAAAAGTCATACTCCATGTTATTGCTTACTCTAACTGCAATAAAAACCACACGTAGAAAAGCAGTTTGTGTGTCTTTTGTAATCACAGCTTAAAACATTCTACACACAGTATTTTTTTTCAGTCTGTACTGAGCATTTACAGACAGATCTCCTGAATTCTAATGACATTCTCCTTGCCCAGCAGACTGAAGTTTGACTGAAGCTGAGCCTGAGGAAGAAGGAAGGGTGTTTCCTTAAGTGTTTGTTCAACTGTTTATGTTTTCTTTTTTTCCCCTCAATAACTGAATCAGTAAACAAAGGTTTGTTTTAACTGGCAAGAATTTCAGTTAAGGCAAATTCCTCAAGTCAAGACTGTTCTGTCCAGGACAACATACTATTTTCAAGCTTCCTGAATAAAGAAAGGAGAAAAGGTAAGCTAAATACTGAAAACCAGAATTAAACAAGCGTGTTCTTTCACCAGCTACTTCATATGTGTACTTTCTGTGTGTAACTAGTCTCCTGTCTCATACGGCATTAATTTGCCTAGACTGCATGGAACTTAGAATGCTTTTCTTAAATAAGTTTAAAACCTACTTCTAGTGATATTTTCCAGGACAATAGGTGTATGAATTAAGTTAAAATATAAAAAGGATAGACCTGTTTTAGATGAGTCTGTAAACTCTCTTGTGAACTGCAGCAACTCTACAGAGCATTAATAAACCATACAAAACACCAGCTTCTCCCCAGTCCCAAAACTAGACTCTCAGAGATGTCTGAAAGCCTACCTTACAGCCAAGCACCTCTGTGATGGAGTCAAATCTTCATTTTTCCGAAACATTCCTAGGGAAGAGGACAAAAAAAAGGAAAAATAAAGAAAAACCAAACCCTCACACATTAACTAGCAGTTTCTTTACTCAGTAGAGCAAGCTTCATGCTGCAGTGTAATTTCTTAAGTCCTCAAGTAATTTCAGAGGTATGACGTCACATAACATTTTTGCTGGAGTTGGATCAAACAATTCTTACTGTTGACAAAATTAAACTCTCGTATCCTCAGTTATATCTGAAAGTACCTAAACCTGAAATCTCAGAGATTTCAGGAAAGGATTAAGAAGGCTTGTAATAAGTGTTGACAAATACAATTCCCCTACATTGCTTAAGATTTCAAAGTCTGCACATTTTAAACTTATTTATTTCCAGTCCTGGAGACTGGACAAGCCCCAAACCTCTTTCAACATTGCAGTAACCCAGGGACATTACACTACTCATTGCACTTTTGATGTATAGTATGAACATGGTCCAAGAATAGATTTAAGCCATTCAAAACTTAAGGCAGACCTCAAGAGCACCTTCATGCTGCAAGTAAAGATTGTAAGCAAAGTCCAGTGAAGCAGGCACAACAGTAAAGGGTGCTCAGGTCTTTTTTATGAGCACTAACGAGAAGCCCTAATAACCCCTGCTAGCAGAAGGGGGCAGGCAAAGTTGAAGTTCAGCAGCAAGACTGAATTTACCTTCTTCCCATACGTGGCACTATCTGAAATGCTGGTGGCCTACCCCTGCAAAATAGGCTTCAAAATTTGTACTCCCGTAAAAGAGGAAAGTAAAAAATATGACCTTCAACACTTTAAATTATTACAAAATACACTAATTCAGGAGCACAGAAGGAGCAGAGGTCTTTCCTTCAGACAGCCCTGATTTATACCGGCTGGCACTGCCTGCCAAAATGACTGCTTCAGCTCCTGCCTCCTCTCCGCTGGTCCAGACATTAGCACATGCATCCATTCTCTGCTATTCACATTTGCAAGTTTTCTTTGCCACCACAAGCACTAAAAAAAAAATTATTTTTACGAGCATAGCTTCCTAAAGGAAATGAAATTTATAGAATCTCACTTCAACTATCTTCCTCCCTAGCAGTGCCTAAACCCAACAGTCAATTTCTAACCAAGACTGATGAAAGAGCAGAGGTAATATAGATATGAAATCCCAATGTGCTTTATGAAAATAGGTGATTCTACAGCAGATCCTCCTCCACGCCTAGAAAGGTTGCCTTCAACCCCACCCCTTGATGCCAGTAAATCCACAGAGGGGAGCCCTTATATTTGACCCAAGCATAAAGAAAGTTTTAACGGGAGCCAATTCTTTTTTAGATACCAAAATCAGTCAGGCTTAAAACAAAAAAAAAGATTGGGGGCGGGGGAGGAAGTCAAACCTCATTTAATTCTATGACTCATGGAAATACTTGTTATCTAAAGAAAAGATAACCCTGTTGTCTCCATGTGACTCCAGGAACCGTGACCTATACAAACTTATGACTTGAAAACTGCACTTTTAGTCTTCAACAAAGCTGAGAATACAGAGAGGTTAGCAACTTGCCACCTCCTCTCTTCCAATATGACCTGGAAAAATACCTTACTCGTTCCTGATCCTGCACAGTGGAAAGTCACCTCTGCTCCTACCCCCTCAAGGCAAGAAACTGAAGGACAAAGCATCACCCCTAACTTCATGCGGGCACTTTCTCTTCCCCATCATTATGTTTTCACATCTTTTTCTTGGTGCTACAGCAAAGACTTCTCTGCTGACAATGGTACTGAATAAAAAAAAAAAATAAATGTGGGAAAAGCATTTTGAAAGGTCTTTTAACCATTAAGGCCATAAGATCACAGTTCTCAGGTAGTGAATCTTTGAATTTAACACAAAGTTAGACAGAAATTTAACAGAAAGACTCCTATGGATAGATGCAGATCACACAATATGACTAGTGTAAGGAAGTAGCTCGTACACAGCCTTCAGTCTCTCACCACACACACAACACAAACTGACAGGAGCAGGAGCTTCCTCCGCTGTTATATTCCATATGAGTATTTTACCCCTAAGTCAGAAAGAGGAAGCAGTCACCAAGTGTGTCCAAATGAACTTGCGTAAAGCCAGACTAACCACTAAATAAAGATGATTAGTCAAATGAAAGATTTCATATCATTTATGTGGTATGAAAGAGAAGGAAAAGCCCTCAAACCTGAAATAGAAGCAGCTAGCCATTGAAATATGACCTATACTTTTGGAGGGGTGAGGAAGAAAGAATTGGCATATTTAAAATGGGTTCAAGTTAAACACGTACATACATGAGAAGTCAGTTAAGGCCTAAATAACCTGGTGCATAGCACACTTGCTGTCTCAAACATACCGCATACAAGTAAGTCTCCATTAATTTTTCATTTCCCTGTCTCGCTAAGATTTCCCTCCAGCCAGCAGCTTCTTTGAGGTCAGAATACAGGGAAAGCCACTGAACTATTTTTTTTTTTAATGTCTTCTCAGTGCCTTGAAGGCCCATTTATCATGTTTGCATAGCACGCAAGAACAAGGAGACTGTTGATCTCTGCCTCTGTTATACTCTTAGAACTTTCAGGAAGCTACTGTTAACTTTTTAATTCATAGAAAATACATATGGAAAAGGTGCTCTTACCTTGATGCTTATCTAATATGAGATGAATTAATATATATACGTTCAATATTTCCCAGGCAGTGTATCTGCTTATGGGAACAGAGGCCTCATAAATCATAGCTGTTCCCTACCTACTACACACTGGAGATGAAGAAAACCCACTTCAGCAGCACACCGCTGCTGGGAACTCATGAAGTTTTGTAACCTTTCTCTGGGGATTATGAGAATTGTTTTCTCCTGTCCTAAAGCAGGAGACTACTGCAATGTCTGCAGCCTTTAGTTGCTACCAAATCACACACTGGGGACTAGAGAAAATGGGTTTTATCGAACATCTGTTAGAGAGGTGAAATAATTTGGTCACTCAGTAACTGTAACTCAGTTTTCTCATCTCTAAAGTAGGAAATACTCCTACTTTTCTTCCTTGGTAAAAAAAAAAATTGTAAATCATCAGTAACAAAATTTAATCCCAGTGATCTAGATCATGAGGAAGTTGCATCTTTTCATTCCTCCTCAGGAGACCACATCCTAGTGGTAACAAAATTAACATATTTAAGTACACACCAATATCCTGCCATATAGGCTTTAATAAGGCACATTATGACTCTCACTGCGATAATACAATGTTTACAATCATAACATAGCACTACCCCAGCTTTGCGGTTAATCTGCTTGAATATATCCACCTTTGTATTTGCATGAAATCTGGCTAATCAGTAACTCATTAATAATGCTTAGAAATAAGATTATACTACATTAATAATACTTGAACATGGAGATAATAACGCAGGCTCTGTTGTAATTACAGTAAATTTTAATTTGAGGTTCTGAAATGGATCTCCAGCTGAGCCCAAATGCATACTGTTATTAGAATGCTTTAAGAGCTGAAGACAGACAGACAATAACACTTTTAGTTGTTACTAGCACATTGACAGCAACAAAAGCAAACAGACAGAGATGCCAGCTGAGTAAAATTGCAAAGAAACTACAAAAAGCAAGAAAAATCCAAAGTCTTGATATCCAGAGAGCCGTGCAAGCAAACGTAAGTGCAGAACAACACTTGAAGACTTAGGAGGGAAGAAATACAATATAATTCTTTTAAACACTAATGACATGTACTGTAATTGAAGTGATTTGGTAACTGATGCTGAAACAGTAACGACCATGCTGTCACTAACACAAGAGGGAGCACTTAAAAAAGAATAAAATATATATATAGATCAAGAGACAGCTAGAGAGGGCGCATTAAAAGAAACTCTTAGACATAAGAAGAAAGCATCAAGTTACCAAAAAAACCAAATATGCACACCCCACCACACCATGGCAGTTTCACTGACATCATTAACAAACGAAAAAAACCCCAACATTCCTGGTTAAACAGCTGCAACTTTTTTGCTGTAAGACCAGCGTTTATGAAGTGGAACTGGGTCATGATGACCTATCAAAAAACCTTACAAGTATTTAGTCCCACATACATAAGGCACACATTTCTCTGTCTCAAGAGTTGTTCAATTTTCTCTTGTTTATATGTTCACAACAGCAACTATCCAAATACACATAGAAAAAATAATAAAACACCTATTTGAAATCAGAAAAGAACATTGATATTTTATGAGACCTTTATTTTCATAAACATAACACTCTTAAGCAACTCACTACAACAAAAAAACCCCACTTAATCACAAAAGTAAATTGGCCAAAACAGGCTATGTTCCTTTTTACTATGGTGTTGCACTGTGATAATCAGCAATTCAGCCTGGTAATCCCATTCTGCTTTTGTATATTTATTTAAAATAAACTTGAAATATCACATCTAATGTACAGAAATGCATAAGCCGTTCAATGCTTCAGTACATTCACATCTCCACCCTTTAAGCAAGAGCAGACCAATACTAAAGTTGTCTGCAAGCCTTTAGAAAGATGTAGTGTCTTTCTGCTGAACATAGGAATTATTTGCCTTTGAGAAAAGTAAAAGGCAAAGAATCCAGTTAACTGAAAATAAAGAAGAAATGTTTATATCAACTAAATCAGGAAACATTCTTCAATACTTCTGACACTACTACATTGTTCAAAAGCAGCTAATAAAAGCATTACTACTAACATAAAAGCAGGTATTACAGTTTGGATGGGACTGCTAATTAGCTGTGAACCAACAAGAAATTTACGTTCTAAAATAGATATATAAACAAACAAACAAAAAGTATTGTCTGAAGCCCCCCCCCAGTGTATGGTGTAGTACCACAACCTGATGTAGCAATAGCAGGCAGCAATAGATAATGGCAAGTAATACAGCATTTGCACATATGCTTCTCCAACATCACCTTTGTTTCTTTTTCCTCATCTCCATTTTCCATGTGTTCCATCTATCCATTGAAATATCTCTCCTTTTAGGGGCCATACTGGACAG